GTTTAGTTTTTTCTTTAAGATCGTTTAGTTTGTTATTAAAGATCGCTTAGATAGTTCTTAAAGATCGCTTAGTTTGTTTTAAAGATCGTTTAGTTTGTTCATAAATGTCGTTTAGTTTGTTGTTAAATATCATTTAGTTTGTTCTCAAAGATCGCTTAATTTGTTTTTAAATGTCGCTTAGTTTTTTGTTAAATATCGCTTTCGCTTAGTATTAAATGACTGAAAACCTGAGTAACTTTCGGCCGGATGGCCGAAAGTCAAAGTCAATTTCGGCCGAAACCGAAGAAAAACCGAAAGTTAACTTTTCTCTTTCGGCCGAAACCGAAATTAAGCCGAAAGTTAACTTTCCAGTTTCGGCCGAAACCGAAACTTGGCCGAAAGTGATAAAATGGCCACTTTCGGCGCCGAAACCGAAGCCGAAGCCGAAATTCGGTCGGCCTCTAATCACAGGTTTGGCGTAAGAGGGGAGGGGAGGGGAATTGTCGCGCCAATTTGCTATTACCAAAATGTACAATTATGGGGCACTCGCAATTTTAAGTGAACTACATTACTAAAAACATTACAAATTATTGGGCCTATTAAATGTTATATTTAAAAAATAAATAAAATCAGTGTCTCTAATAAAACACGTGTTCTTTTCAATGTGACAAAGACTATACAAAAGTTAATAAAACATATTAACATTTCTTGCCACTGATTAATTCTGTAAATAGAAAACCTTATCGAATAAAATAAATAAACAGGATGTAAGTTAAGGGAAACTCCGTGACGTCATATCACTGCGGAGACAAGCACCAGTCAATAAATAGTTTGCAACCCCACATGAGTCTCCTTCCGTAAACTATAGTTGTGAAAGCTGTTCATCTTTGAATGCCTTGACACATTACTTTGAAACATAACGATTTTAAATTCCTTATGCGTAGAGGTTTAACATTTTTGTTTAATATTTTTGTTTAACATCGCTAGACGACTTCTGACAATTATATTTGTTTATTTGAGGCCCTTGCGATTGTGAGATGGCCAGGCTGAAAACCACCCTCCCCCCCCCCCACACACACATATAGTGTCGGTTTAAGGCTTGCGAAGGCCCCTAGATCTAGGCCCTGTGATATTCCACGATACATAATGCTTTCCCAGAGGCGTACTTAAGGGTTTAAATTTGGGGTTTATATAGGGCAAAACATAATAAAAAGGCATGTCGCCCCTAGGCCAGTGGTTCTCAACCTGTGGGTCGCAATCCCTTGGGGGGGGGGGGGGCGAACGACCCTTACACGGGGGTCGCCTCGGACCGTCGGAAAACACATATTTATGAAGTAGCGACGAAAAAAATTTTATGGTTGGCGGTCACCACCACATGAGAAACGGTATTAAATGTTAATAAAAAGGCATGTCGCCCCTAGGCCAGTGGTTCTCAACCTGTGGGTCGCAATCCCTTGGGGGGGGGGGGGTCGAACGCCCCTTACACGGGGGTCGCCTCGGACCGTCGGAAAACACATATTTATGAAGTAGCGACGAAAATAATTTTATGGTTGGCGGTCACCACCACATGAGAAACTGTATTAAATGGTCGCGGCATTAGGAAGATTCAGAACCACTGCCCTTGGCTAATGCCTTAATTGCCTTTAGAGTTAATCCATCACAGTCCCTCATTACAAACACGACTAGAAGAAGCTCATATCATGTAACAGAGCTAGGAAATAAGATCCTTATGTTTAGGGCTACTTCAAAAATTGTTAATACTTCTTATGAAGTTGGATTTTTTTAAGAAAATGGAAGCTTGGAATGACAGATGTGAATCAAACTATAATGGAAGCTTCGCGCGCTCCCAACATTTGCAGCACTGAGTTAAATTAATTTCACGATGAACGCATCTAACTTTAAGAATGAGCTATCTTTAAATTCTTAGCCTTCCAAAAAACGGCCGCAATGTGTGAGCGCACCGAGCCATTGATTCTGCTGGATTTGAAGTTTATTTACAAGTTAAAAAAAACTAAATAAAAAAAAAACTTGAGCACTGCCCGCCTGCCTTAATCAAGAGTCTGTCTTCCACTACAAATATGGGAGCGATGGGAGACGTTTGTCAGGAGCTGCCACGGTTTCCTACAGGCAGATTTTACATCTCGGAGAAGGCCAACCTCGGGCATACACGAGGAGATGGGCATGGCTTTTAGAAGTGAGACCGAATAGGACAAGTTGGGTGGGAGAGTGGGGTGGGTGAGTGGGGTGGGTGGGTGAGTGGGGTGGGTGAGTGGGGTGGGTGAGTGGGGTGGGTGGGTAGG